TCACAACCAGCTTCTTCAAATATCTGGGAGCAAGTCTTGCCACCAGATCCTGGCACTATAAGAGTATAGACGTCCATCCAAACCTGTAAATTTTACAATGCCATTAGGAAGAATTTGTTTATCATGACTTTTTAGGTCCTAAACTCATTAATGGAAATTTAATGAAATCTTAAATGTAAATTCCAGCCATGATGCTCAAATTTTCATTCAAAGACATTTTCATCCTTTTAACTTTTATAAGAATGTTAATATCACCCTTTCTTTAAAATGGTTAAAAGAATGATACTACCTCAGGAGTCAGGACCATTTTAATTGTCACACTTTCCTAAAAGGAGGTGGTTCAATTAACTTGTCAATTTCTCCTTTAAACATAGCATTAAAGGCTTCTTTCTCAATTTTGCCCCTATTAATAATTATTCCATTCTTAAAAAGAACACATCCCAACTTCCCAAACTTCCCTTATTAATAAGGGTAAACATGAAATTTGAATGAGTAATAATGATGTTTTTATGAATTTTGGTAATTTTCTCTATAACCGTGCCAACAGTGGGTCAAGGAAAATGGACCAAGGTAGTATAACTTTCCATGCAAGCACTACAAGGCACAAGCAAGGCTCACTGCATGTTAAATCAAATTCCATACTTTAACCATGCCAATTTAAAGAAGAAAGCGATTGATACTCTTATGGAATTTATGAGCCTCCCACATGGCAACAGAAAAGGTCAAAAATGAAAATGAAATTTCGAAGAAAGTTCTACGCACCACTGACTCAATTTAACCATTTATTAAAAACAATCATGATGGTGATGAATTTCATACCTTCTGGGTAGCAGGGACAAGGAATGTAGGAACTTTAACCTTTTTGCCCTGCAGATCAATAATGGAGGTTGCTAAGATTAATTAAGAAAAGAAGACCCAACCAAGTGAATTATATTCGGAATGCAAGTTGTGAAGAAAACAATCACATTAAGAACAATGAAAACAATGAGATGAAAAATAAAAGAAAAAATCTCTTGATGACAGTAGCCAATAACTTGTAGCCAAAATGTATAAAATGCATGGTGTACTTAGAATGCAAAACATTTTTTTCATAAATAAAGAGAAACACATATTCATATAATCCAGCAAATGTGCATCCTATGTTTCTTACTGAATACTATCAAATTAACCCAATTACCCTTTATCAAATTTTACAAAATCCAGACAGATTGAAACCATTGTTCTGATGAGAACACTGAGATCTGTATCAACCTCTCTTTTACTTCTGGCCAACCTTTCTATTTTCCCTTCTCTAACCTAGCACTTTAGTTTTAATCTTTAAACTTTTAAGGAGTGGAAATATGGCTCTTACCGAAGCTAGAAACACTTTGGCCACAGCAAGAAAATCCTCTGTTTTTCCACCAGTACAGGATCCAATGTATACTCTGTCAATTTTGACATCCTTGCATTCTCTTGCCAAAGCACGGTTACCAGGAGAATGAGGCTGCAAAATACACCAAACAAGTCAGTAAAATCAGAAACTCTAAAGAGCGGTAAAAAAATCAGTTTTATGAGAAACATTTCTGGTCTATTGTGGATTGGCATCCAATTTGCTTAGCTTAAAGAAAGTCATTGATATAAAATAGAAGGATGATTCACAGTCTTCACAGTCATTTGTAACTTAACAGTCACACACCTTCGCCACCAAGGGCTCCAATTTTGAGATATCAAATCTGTACTCAGAAAGAAAACTGAAAGGCAGAAGAGGTGCATGAGTAAATAAGTTGATTATCATAAAACTCTGCATGCAATACAGTAATTAATAGAAGACAAAATGCCAGCATATATTATTATCTAGAACACCAATATGTAGCAAACAAATAATTCCTGTTAACATTCATTCTATGGCATCTGCTAAGAGTGTTCAGATAAGAAATAATTACTTTAAATCCTAAACAATAATCAAACTAAACTAATGCTAAAAGTAAAAAGTCAGGTAACTGCAGGCCAGTGACGTCAAAAGGGCTGTTCTGGTCTAAAAGAGAAGTTATTATAGTAGGTGCCCCTCCAGAGGGCTTAAAGTAATGGCTCATGGAACATTACTTGGAAGAAAATGAAAAAGAAAAGGAGGATAATTTGTTAAAAATGTAGTTAACAAAATGATATTATGGGTTTTGTGAGAAAAAAAAAAATAAATCTCTGTATTTAGGAGCATTTTCAGCACAAATCAATTGGTCAAAACCACTACTGTTAGCTATTGACCACCGAGGTTCAAAGTTATAAATGAATCCAAAATGGAAGTGATAGACAGAAAGTAATCACCAAGATCTACCTTGCTTGTGCATCACTATAAACAGGTTCATAGGGCACAGATGTCTTGTTCTGTGCAAAGCAAAAGATAACATTAAAAGCAATAGTATGCAATATGGCATCAGAAGTGAAACAAAATATCCCTTGAAAGAACATGCATTAAATGGAACTCACCTCAAGGTACTTGAATGTAGTACCATCAGCCGGAACAACACCATTCTTTCCACCGGCTTCGATTACCATATTGCATAATGTCATCCTTTCTTCCATCTATCCAGTACATATAATAAGAATATTTTAATTTATGACCAGTTTCAGTGGAATAAACAACATAGAAACATTGTATCAAAAAAAACAACAACATAGAAACATTGTATCAAAAAAAACAACAACATAGAAACTGCTGAATGACCAAACCTAAAGTAGTTAGAGATCACATCAAGCTCACTCACAGTTAAACTTTCAACAGTTGTGCCAACAAACTCCATGGATTTATATGTTGCACCAGCTACAGATATTTCGCCAATAATCTGCAAAAAGACGATCGTTTTTGAGAACAATCCTAACATATTGACAGAATATGTTATGAGTTTATTCTCATAAAAATAAATGACTGTCTCGACTTACTTGCAAAATCAAATCCTTTGCAAGCAAATAATGAGGCATTTCACCATCCATTAGAAATCTCAGGGTTGGTGGGACCTGCAACCACAAATGCAACAAATTAGATGTAACTAAGCAGACTACCATGGGAGGATAGAACCACATTTCAAAGTCAGAAACACAAAACTTTTGGGAACTTGTTAAACGGAACTTGGACACTACAATTCAAGTTGCATTTTTTTTTTTTTTTTTTTTGATCATGGTTGCAAAATGGGAGGCAACCATCTCCCATCCCTTATCCCACCCCACCCGCATACCATGCGACTCGAACTTGGGACCTCTTACTTCCAGCAGAAAAAGATAATCACTGAGCTACTTAGGTTGTTGGCAGTTGCATTTTAAAACAATACAAGCTAGTAGGAATCTAAATATGTAACACTAAAGATCAAACTAAGCAAGATGAGATGCATAATGAACAACTAACACATAAAAATATTATAAAAAACCTTGAGCAGTAGCTTCCCTGTGCCCAATACAAAACCTGCATCAGTGTTACCAATTCCTGTAGCAAATTGGCCAAAAGCTCCAGCAGTACAGGTGTGAGAGTCTGTCCCCAGCAGAACCTGAGGCAGTAATGACAATTTAATGGCAGTTTCCAAAAATGTGACATAAAAATACATCTTCAACAAACAAACAGTTTCAACAGAGAAATAATAACCTCTCCAGGCCTGCAGTGCCCTTCTTGGGCAAGTGCAACATGGCATACACCTTTATAATCAGGGTTTGCCTGCAAAGTTACGAGGTAAAATTTACATTAAATGTAAGAACATACTCCAATTCATCACATATATAGATAAGAAAATGGAACCACCCAAAATACATAAGGGCCATACCTTAAAATTACTAAGATCCTTAATGTCATAGAAGTACTTGATATTTTGCTCCATGCACAAATCCCTCAAAGTATCCACATTACGATTTGCACGTTCATCACTTGTGAATATATAATGATCAGGTATAACAACAATCTTTTCACTGTCCCAAACCTTCAATACCAAAATAAACAAAGATACCATTAGTAAATTCTGACCATACATATAGAGAGCTGTGAATGCATAAATACAACCCAAATTATATTGTTTGAGAGAAAAGAAAGAAGGGGAGAGAGAGGGAAGGAGAGACTAATCTTCAAACACCATTCCACTTGAGAATGTAAATCAGTAAATCACTCATATATTGGCGTACATATCATCTCAATTCAGGTTCATAAAATAAAAGAATTATATTGAAGTCACCAAGCTCTATTTTTTCTGCCAGAATTGGAATCAGCATGCTAAGTGCATACAGAATTTAAGGAGAAAAAAACGCATAATAACCAAACAAGACAAAACAGACAATCAAATAAAACACCAAATCTACGGAACTACCATGAATATAGAATTGCTTTCACAGAAGAAATCCAAAGGAGAAAAGGGCAAGCTACTGGAACAATGATATACCTTAGCACTTTCACCAAATTCTTTCTTAAAGATACCAAAAGAAGCAGCGCCACAAACATCATGTGTCATCAATACATCAACATTAACCCAAACATTTTCACCAGGGCTCAACTGAGGTTTCTCTGAGGCCCTAGCCAGAATCTTCTCTGTCATTGTCATTGCAGTCTTGACCTGAAAATCCAACCACCGAGATGTTAACCAAAAAAAAAAAAAATCAAAATTTACTAAATCAGCATGAAATAAATGAGGGGGAGGAAACTAACAGAGCCAGTGGTGGCCGGCTTGCGCTGTGTTTGCTGCGGTGCCATGACTGAGACGATTCTCTTGGACACTGGTTTCTTGCATTTCTGAATGAAAATTTGGGATGTTGAAGGGAAAGCAGAGAGACCCAACTCTTTCTGATGAAAAAACAAAAGATCAATACTTCAAACATGGGTTATGTTCAATTTAATGCAAACAATCAATAAAAACTAAAACAGGAAACATGGGAAAGAGAACATTGCCGTAAAGCCAGAGATGTCGTGAAAGAGCTGACCTTGCTGTTGATAAAGGAAGAGGTTGGCGGCGTAGGAGACAGAATGGAGGAGGCCATTATTGCTTTATTCGCGTATAATTAAGATTTCCCTCTTTGGGTTTATTGGTAGTATAGGAAGTATGGAAAATAAAGAGGGCGTCTTTTCTGTTTGGTTCGTGAGAAAAATTGACACGCAGGCGGCGCAGCCCCAGATAAAATAACGTCTGTGTCCTGCTCGTAGTGAATGGGCCCAATTTTTGACGGAAAATATTGTAAAGAAAGAAAGATTTCAGGATACTTGTAAATTCGACTCCAAATTCAACACCAGGTGTAATTAATACTAAAATTTAAAGGGTTAAGTATAATTCTAATTAATTTTTTGCCCACCCATCTTCATTTTCTTTCTTTTGGATCCGGGAAGTTGAATTCTATAGCGCAGGAAAGTTGCCATGAGCGCTACCGTCGAGGGCGGTTCTTCTTCACCGACTCGACCCAGATGGCGGGAAGTCGCCTACGGTGGAATGCAACTGGGCTTCGACGACAATCACACCGGCGAGACTTTCCTGGCGGACATGGTGATGAACGCCAACGTCGTCAAGCGGGACCTGCTGAAAGTGATGCAAGATTCAATCTCCATCTCTCAATACCTCTGCATCGTCGCCCTCGTCGTCTTGGTCTGGACCTACACCCTCAGATCAACCATGAATGAGAATTCCCTTTTGATCCTCGACGGAACCCTCCTCGTTTCGCGCTTCTTGATCCTAATACTAACAGAGGAAATGCTTTCCCTCGGTCTTCTCCTTCATTACTTCCTCAACATCTCCTTCTTCACCACCGGTTTATACGTTCTGGCTCCGATTTACCAGACTCTGACGAGGTCCAACAGCTCTGACTCCATCTGGGCAGCGACATTTTCCCTTCTCCTGCTCCACCTTTTCCTCCACGACTACTCTGGATCGACCATCAGAAATCCGGGGGCTCTGAAAAATCCTAACTTGACTAGCTGCATCTCCTTGAATGCTTCCGTGGTGGCTTCAGTCTTCATAGCCTCTCGCCTGCCGTCGAGGGTACATGTTTTCGCCATCATGCTCTTCTCCTTACAGGTCTTCCTCTTTGCTCCATTGATTGCCTATTGCATGAAGAAATACTCTTTCAGATTGCACCTTGTGTTTTCTGTGGGATTGATGGCTGTGACATTGGCTTTTGTGTATGCCCTGCATCCTTTGGTCTTTGTGTTGCTACTGGGGATATTCATCTTTGTCACTGTGGTCTGCCCATATTGGCTTATCGGGCTTCAGGAATGCAAATTTGAGATCAACGGTCCATGGGATGAGGCTAAGCTCTGCTTTGATATTACAGATTAAGATCATTAGTTGTATGTACACAGGCAACTTTGAAAATCAGAAAGTATTGTACCCCCGAAGAGATTGTATTTATTGAGCAACAGGCTAGCTAATGAATGAGTTTATATCAACATCCAGCAAGTATATCTCAAGGGGATTGATACATGGATATCAAAATTGGGTATGATAATGGAAGCCAAAAAGCATTTGAATTCTAACATACAAAATGGCAAAACCTGCTGCTACCCTGGTCAGCATTGACAATAACATCTCAATTCATTCTACTTTCCTGGTACAGGCATTGGCTATGTTACTCTTGTTTCTTCAGTGCTTGGGAAGATGTACTAGTTTCTTCAACTGTCAACTTCTTGACACTAGCTTTGGCATCAGCAAGGAACTTGGGGTCTGGCTCGTGTTTATCTGAGGGTTCCTTCATTGCCATATATATGTAGAATGCAAGAACTATATTTACTGATATCACAGCAAGGAATCCACTCAACAGCGTCAAAGAATAAGGAGATAGATCAGTTGAACCTGTTGTATGACAATTATTTGTTCAATTAATCAGACAATAAATTGCAAAAAGAACATACATCTGTGTAAGAACCTAGTTACTCCCTTGTCCCTACCCAGATCAAGCCACAATTTGAAGGACTGATATTTTAAGTACAAACATACATGACTTCCAAAAATGGGAAAAAGGTAAAACGTTCAAACTTACCACGGCAGAGAAAAGAAAAAAAGATCATACGAGGAATACCCATATGACCACAAAAAATCTAGAATTTTAATCCAAAATTAAAAATGCATTCCAGTAACAAAAGAATAATGTTCTTACCAGGAATCAACTTATTGTTAAAACCGTATAGAATTGCTATAGGAACTACCCACATGAACATGGATGAAATGAAAAACTTCTTTATCACTGCTGCTGCCATTTCAAACTCTCCCAATCTGAAACCAAAAAAAAAAAACCAAAAGAAGATTGAAATTTGTTAAATGCCCAAAACTGTAATGTCAAAAAGAACCCCAAAGGAAGGGAAAATCCTAGAACCAAAGGTGTTAAAAACATAGACAAATTGGCGGCGGAAATAAACACACACAAAAGAGAAAGATCTAAACGAAACCAGTAAGTTTTAAGAAATTGAAACAAACCCGTGATTTGTAAATCCCTTCTGGTTGTGCCTGAAGTTTTTTCTGCTCTTTCCTCCTCCTTTTCTCCCTCGGTTGTTTTGCTGTAGCTATGGCAAACAGTCCCTTAAATTTTATCATACGCAGATCCGGCGATCTTGTGTTCATTTTATTCAATTTACTAATTTACGGTTGTGTCCTCTACAAATCTTTCAATTTCCGGATTTGCCTAGACATTAATTTTTTTAAACTATTTTAAAAATACATTTAAAGAATTAAATATTGACTCACTCTTAAAATCAAACTTGCTACACAATAATTAAGGAAAATGATTCAGGCCAATTTTTTATATTAATTTTTGGTTTAATTTTAAATATTAATTAAATAATTAATTTTTTTATTTTTTTATTTTTACCATTTGGAAATTGGAAGATGAGGGAATAGTTACAATATTACTGCACTGGCAACTTAAACCCTTGACAAAGAAACTAAGGTGTTGGTGCACTTCCATCGGACTAAGGCCGCAAATGCAATTAATTTTTTTATTTATTTAAAATGTATAATATTAAATGTATTTATTTATTAAATAATATATCAAAATTATTTAAAAATTATTTAAAAAATTATCCTTACATGGTTACTCATAAATTAACCAAATTTAGATTAATTTTTTTATTTTAAAATATTATTATTTTATTTCATAAAAAATAATTATTATTTTAAATATTTTTTAAATTAAAATTTTGAGAATTATTTTTATATTTACACATATTATTTTTAATAAAATAATTAATTAAAATAAATAATAATGAAATAAAATTAAAAAATATTTACCAACTTTAAAAAATAAAAACTAAACAAATTCAGAATAAAAAATTGAGAGTCATTTCGCACACACTATTCATAATTTACTCAGCCAATACTGTTTTGCCAAGTACGCAGGATCACGTAGACTTGACCGCGTCTGATTAGCTGCCTACATTAGAATCTGCATTTTTTTTTATTTTTTGTGTCATTTTTCTTCCCTCTTTCGCTGCAATGCTAATGGAGGGATGCTCATGGTGAGAGTAAGTCAAGCTCTCTCTCTAAAACTCACCAGAAATTTCTCTTTAAAAACCCCTACTTTCTTTGCAGAGAACCAAGCATCCACAACTTTCTTAAATCTAAAACCCCTCAATTTCAGAATCTCGAATTTCATGAAAAATGGTTGTGTACAAGATGCCCAGAATCTGTTTGACAAAATGCCTCAGAGAAACACTGTTACGTGGAATGCAATGGTTCGAGGGTACTTCCTAAATGGGTTTTTTGATAAAGCATTGTGCTTGTTCCATCAGATGCCAGAGCGAGATATTTTCTCGTACAACACGGTTATTTCGGGGCTGATGCAATGCGGTGATGTGGACCGTGCAAGGGAGATTTTTTATAGGATGGTGTGTAGAGATGTTGTGACGTGGAATTCAATGATCTCGGGGTATGTTAGTAACGGATTGGTGGAGGAAGCAAGGAGGGTGTTTGATGAGATGCCGGTGAAAAATGTGATTTCTTGGAACTTGGTGTTAGGGGCGCTTGTGGATTCAAAAAGGCTTGATTTGGCTGAGGAGTATTTTAGAAATATGAATGCTAGAGATGTTGCTTCATGGACTATAATGATTTCGGGGCTTGTAAGAACTGGACGGATTGCTGAAGCTCGTCAACTTTTTGAGGAGATGCCTGTAAAGGATGTTCAGGGGTGGAATGCAATGTTAGCTGGATATGTAGAGAATGAGTGTGTTGAAATGGCAAAAATGTTATTTGGACAGATGCCAGATAGGGATTTGGATTCCTGGAAATTATTGATAAGTGGGTTGGTAAGCATTCAACATTTTTCTGATGCTACAAGATATTTCATGGAAATGCCCACAAAATGTCATAAAACATGGAACTTGATCCAGTTAGGATTAATAAGAAAAGGGCTTGTCAAGGAAGCTCATGCTTTTTCTGAGAAAGTACCATATAATGATGTTGTGTCATGGACAAATATGATTGTTGGATATTTTGAAATAGGTGAGATTGGGAATGCTGTTAAACTTTTTCAATTGATGCCAATTCGAGATACAACCATATGGAATGTTATGATTTTTGGATTGGGGGAAAATGATCATGGTGAGGAAGGTCTTAAGGTTTTCATCAGAATGAAAGAATCAGGTCAATCCCCTGATGAAGCTACATTCACTAGCGTTTTGACAATTTGTTCAAATCTGCCAACCTTTGACTTTGGAAAACAAAGTCATGCACACGTTATTAAATCCAGTCTGGATCTGTTTACTGCAGTTTCAAATGCAATGGTGACTATGTATGCAAGATGTGGAAACATGCATTCTGCATTGTTAGAGTTCTCTTCCATGCCATTCCATGACATTATTTCTTGGAATTCAGTAATCTGTGGATTGGCTCACAACAGTAGTGGTGAGAAAGCTGTAGAGATGTTTGAGCAAATGAGATTGACTGATGTTAAGCCCAATCAGATAACCTTTATAGGTGTTCTATCTGCTTGTAGCCATTCAGGGTTGGTAGACGAGGGTAAATACTACTTTGATTATATGAAAAACGAGTGTTTTCTTGAGCCAACAAGTGAGCACTATACTTGTATTGTTGATCTCCTGGGGAGATTTGGACTTATCAATGAGGCAATGAATTTTCTCAATCAAATGAGGCAAGATGGAATTGAAGTTCCCGCTAGTGTCTGGGGAGCCTTGCTTGGGGCTTGCAGAATTCACAAGAACATAGAGGTTGGGGAGATTGTCGGTGAGAGAGTTTTGGAAATAGAGCCTGATAACTCTGGTGTATATTTAATTCTGGCAGAAATGTATCTTACCTGCGGAAGAAGAGAAGATGCTGAGAGGATTCGAGCTCGAATGAAAGAGAATGGAACAAAAAAGCAACCAGGTTGTAGCTGGACGGAGGTAAATAACAGCAGCCAAGTATTTCTTTCAGGTGACAGGTCACACCCTGAGTTTAGTCAAATCTGTTGTGTTTTAGACTTACTGCACTGTGACATTGGCATTGAGATTTTAAGATCACATGCTAGTTATACAGAGACTTCAGAGGCTTTATTAGATGGGTGTTAATGTATGAAGTTATGTTGTTGATAGACAGTGAACTAAATATGACACAAGTTGTTTATTGCATATGGGTCTGGTAGATTTGCAGAGACCTGGCTTGTTCCTTCATAATGTTGATCTTATCAGATAGATCTTAGATGGGCTGGCAACTTTTAGGTGGCAGTAACAAAATTTGGGCAATTGTCTTAAGGCAGAAATATATGAAAAGTTCATGTATCTTGTTCAGCTTCAGGACCATCATGCTCTTTCACCTGGCATGGTATGTGAGTTTGTTTAGCTTGGTCTTTGAATGAAAATTGTGAGTGTCCATGGAACAAAATTTTGGTTGGATTGCTGGGTTACTAACTTTCCACTTACTGAAAGTATGCAATTATGCTCTCGTTGGTCTAAGCCAATTGTTCTGTTGCTGAATATTGCCCATCTGATGGTAGCTTGCATTGGGATTTGGGACTGATTTGCTTATATTAGATAGCAAGTCAGGTGGTGTTGACCCTGGATTCAAATCTCACTCTTCATCGCGTTCATAGAGAATCTAACATGATTGCTGAGTAGCTTGCTGGTTAAATATGGTCATGTGGCAACAGATTTAAAAGAGTTTCAAGTCCTGCAGAAGCTGTCAAAGTATTACTTCTAGAAGATACAAGTAGCATACTTGGCAACAGTTTTGCATATCATAAGTCTAGTTTTATGCTGGGTTTTTCTCCCCGTGTGCCGGGGAGGGGTAAAAAGAACAATTCTGCTCTTAAAAAAGCAAACAATTTTGTTTGGTAAACAAAAGAAGCACAATTTAAGGCATTTACTGCCTATTCTGGTTCTTCAGTGTTTTGTGATGCATATATGGACATATCTCATTGCTTTGATCCTAAAATGAGATTAGCATCAATGTGAATGATATCAAGATGAAAAAAAACACACAACAACAACAATAATAGTTAGAATAGATTGTATGCGATACCTTTTATTGATTTCCTCTCTTGGGAAGTAAATTAAAAGTTTGTAACATAAGTGTAATCTATTACCAATAAGCCTTGGGAATTCTTGCTATGAGCATTGAAGAAACATATTGATTTTCTTTTACAACAAACAATAATTATGTTGCTTAAGTTTCACGAGAGTCGGTTCAATTGGTAAGGTGCATTAAGAGTCAATCTTAATTAGTGAATCCAATTAAGTTTCCGTT